CTCAATCTGACCACTGTGCAGCCGGCGCAGAGTGATTTGAGAGCTACAGAAGTCTACGTTTCGAATTGTCTCGAAATATCCCGATTAGTGGTTGATTAGATTAGGTTCAGAGATAGCGTGTCGGAGTCCATTCGAACGACATGGTCAAGCCAGCAGCGCGTTGGATTTCCATGCTGACATTATTATCGGTGTTAATGGTTGTTCTTAAGTAAACGAAATTCTCGAAGTTATAACTGCCAACAGTGACGTAGATGTCAAGGAGTGAATGCGCTGATTGTTTGTTTAATGACAGGAAATCCTTCGTCTTGACCTCGTTGACCGCCAAACTTCGCGGTTCTTCTTACCGATGATATCAATGTCATCGGCGTACGCCAGAAATTGCACACTCTTAAAAAAAATTGTTCCCAATGGGTTCAGTTCTGCAGCTCTTATTATCTTCTCCAACATCAGATTAAAGAAGTCACATGAAACCCCGTTTGGTAGCGAACGGCTCGGAGAGGTCTTTTCCAATTCTGACGGAGCTGGTGGTATTGCTCAACGTCGTTTTACACAGCTGGATCGGTTTCGCGGGGATGCCAAATTCAGATGCAGCGAAGTATAGGCAGTCTTTTAGTACTAAACGCTTCGCAGCGATAAAATGTGATAATCGTAAGCCGATTTTGCAGAAATTTTCTGTGATCATTTTAACTTGGCATGAAGAAAAGAGAAGGAAAAAATCTATAGATTGGCAAACTTCTACGCCCACTTTATTAGTGGTAGATATGGACCTACCACTATCCGATCTTAGTATATTTGGTTTTTACATTAGTTTTTCTATGGCTGGTGATAATAAATTTGACCATCTTTCATACATGGTTTTCTCTGGTTACAACTATTTCTTCATTCTTAAGCAAAACTACTGAATGTAACATTTTTTACAAAAAACGGAGCAGGTTTTCGGAAGGTGTTTACACTGTGTGGCACACTCTTTAAAACGTCCGTAAGAAGTTTTATACTCCGCATTTTGAGCAATTGTCAGAGCAATCTACATGCTCTCAAACCCGTAAATATTGGTAATGAGTTGCATAAGGGATTGTAGTAATTATGTTTTAAACCAATACATACTAATATATATAAACATGTTCCTAAATTTACTACCGTCATCATCTTAAGAGCAAGTCATCCCAATTTGCCAATATTATGGTGCTTATGTCAATATTAAAATTTAGTTAATTTGTAACGATCAAAACTACAAGCTCCCATAACCACACTGTTCGAACTAAATTATTATCGTTATTACTTATAGGAGGCCAAAGATCATTGCACTCCCTCACCCTGTTTGCAGGGTCGTTGTTTGAATACACCTGGCAGTTATTATTGTCACTGTCCGCCAGATCGGGCGGGAAAACACTGCGAGCAAATACGGCCACTGTGCTCACAGCCACTATGCAATGGTAAGTAAGCTTATCTTTATTTATATACGAGCGATTTGTACTTGACATGTATTTGATTATGTTTTAAAAATCCCACACTAATTTTAACTAATCTTATTATTTCCAAACAAAATTACAGAGGGCTGTTTTGTCAATACCACCATGAATACGCCACCATGCAGTGGGCATGGCACATGTGAGATGGGCGATGTGGGCACTTTCTGCAAATGCCATGTCGGTTATACCGGCACCTTCTGTGAGCATAGTAAGTAAAAAAACAAAAACACAAACAACTAGAACAGCGGGTAGAAGAATCGAATCATTTATAATCACCGCACAGGTAGCGTACGAAAGACTTAAGCAACAAACTTGCGCACAGCATTCGTTGTTATTCGTATAATTTTCCTCTATGCAAAATTTGTATTTATTTTTTTTCTAATATAAAGCATCATTAATAGTTTCATAAGCTTGAACAGCAATAAAATGAATCATCACTCAATCTTAAAAAAATCCATATGAGCAAAGAGACAAAAACCCAAAATATTTTCCCACCATTTAAATATATCTACATAGTACATATATACATAAATATCGTCGTTTAAAGTACAAAACCGCGTATCATCATTCTGCAAAACCGCGTAACTGACATTGGCTGCCAAAAATTGGATTGCTCACACAAGCTCTTGGCTCAATCCTTATCCATTCGTCCTGAAATATACTAGCCAGAAATGCGATTGCTTTATAAAAAAGACAACTATTTTGAAATATGATTGTTTTTACTCTCTAGAAAATAATTTATGCAACCTCACATACGCGGTTTTTCATTATCTTGATAAGCGGTTTTGCATTTTGTTGATACGCAGTTTTGAACCTTAAACGACGATATCTATATACGTAGTCGATCAAAAGTAATTTCATCAGAACTTTTGATATGTGTATGTGTGTAGAGCATCAAAATATCTATAACAATGAAAATATACTAAAAGTTACTTTAAAAGTACGAATAAACAAACTAGCAGGAAAAAAATTCGATCTTGAAAAAATGCATGATGCTAAAAGAAGTGTTTTAATGAGCTTTGTACCACGATTGTTTATTAGGAAAAATTGAAAAAGCAACAAAGCCTAAGCGGTAGAAGTTATAGCAGCTATTTCGGAGATCACCACATCTCCTCATCAGACCTCGTTTTTCTACACTTCAGCAGGGATCGAACCTGCGTAATCGATGTTCAAAGTCAGAAGCGTTAACCACTGAGCTATGTACATCCCGTAAACTCTTGTTGCTAATTCATTTTCCTTATTCAACCAACTACTATCAAGTGCAGCTGATTTGCCGCAATTTAAACGAGACAGCAAATGGATGTATAAAATTGACAACAACAACCACACTAAATAGAAATATTAAAAATATAAGTGTTTTAATGATGCCGCTCTTCAAAAGTTTTCTGTTCACTATGCCATACCAGAAAAAAGTGCGAGACTAAAGAATTTTCGCAAGGCAATTAAAATTTTTTTTGTGGACTCGAGCTCGACTTTTTACATATTTTTCGATTTTCTTGAATTCGGAAGAAAATATTTTGTTCGAAAATTCATTGACTTCAAGGACTCTACTGTTCAATCAAAGGATGGAATGCAAATGCCTGGAAATCACTTAGAGCTTCAGAAGTAGTCTTGAGCTGAAATAGCAACAAGACTTTTGAAATACGAGTAGAATTTTGTTATAAAGAGTAGACTGCATCACCAAAAAAGTTGCGCTTTTTCCACCTGGATTACAAAATGTATTGTATTTTAAGACGTCCACCAAAATAGTTCTGAAAAATACTAAGATTTAAGCGAGCTGGATTGATTTGAAAATACCTCCAAAAATGGAGTTTTTTATGAATAAAAACAGTTTCTTAAAGAACTTTTTGAAAAAGTCCCCGCAGATGACAATACAGATTAGGTTTAAAAAATCTGTATAAAAATATTTTCAGCGGAATCGTAATAATGAGATGTTTGATGCTGTTTTTTTATTTTTCAAAGATTGCTTTACGAAAAACTTAAATAACTCGGCCAAAATTTCTTAGACGTTTACAGCGCCAAAAAAAAAAATCTCGGTAGAAAGGTACTTTCCCACTATTTTTATTTATGTGCAAAAAAAAAGTCATTCGTGTCCCAATTTTTGCAAATACCAGCACATCTTAATTCAACTTTGAATGATGTTCGTTCTCTTTCATCCTTTGAATGAGCTTATTAGCAAAGAAATGAAATGGGGGAGAAAATACCTCTCCAATGATACCTCACAAGTCTAAATAGGAAGAGTTTAGGTTCAGTTATCAAGTTTTTCTTATAGCAATCTTTGAAAACAGTTAAAAAACAGCATCAAAAATCTCATTATTACGACTATGTTCAACATTTTTTTTAATTTTTTTTAAATATTTTTATATAAATTATTTAAATTTAAACCGTTTTGTCATTTGAGGGGATTTTTTCAAAAAACATCTTTAAGGAACTATTTTTATTCATAAAAAACTCCATTTTCGGAGGTATTTTCAAATCGGTCCAGCTCACTTAAATCTTAATATTTTTCCGAAATATTTTGGTGGACGTCTTAAAATATAATAGATTTTATAATTCCAATTCATTTCTCAAACTTTAGACTTTTTCAAGGAAAGGAAGTCATATCCCGACAATTGTCAACATAAATGCTGTCTTCCAAAACATCCAGTTTCAGATTTGATGTATTGTGGAACGATTTTCCGATATCGCTTGTCAAATTTGGTCTGGATACAAACCAGTTTCGGCGTTGTGCCATCTTCAGTATCATTTTTCGTTCTCATAAACCAATGACTTGATGTAAGTCAAAAGAAAAAATCTAGTGACATTGAATCACACGAAGCGTTCTCCAAATCTTTTCTCCTATATTTAAGTAGATTGCTTAAAGTACAATAAGATATGTTGCGTCATTCTTTTGGAAAACCATACCTCCATTTTAGGCTCAATCATGGCTCTACATCGGCCGCCATTGATGGTAACGTTAAAGAAGTAAGGTCCATCGATTTTCGGAACCGTAAAGCACACCATGGTGCAAACAGTAAGCTTTTTTCGATGTAACGATGCCTCACAATGTATATCTCCTAAGTTTCCTATCTACATCCAAAGAAAATTGCAATAAGTGAGTGCACCTTTTTTCAGATCCCTAAAACCCGAAATTTGGCAATATCTCAACAACTTTTCTACTTTTTTGTATTCTTATTTCGTATTCGGATTCAACGGAGAATTTTTCATAAAAACTTATACAAAAATGTTGCGGTTGGCCAACAGCTTCCAAAGAAAATTGTAATAAAGTGAGTGCACTTTTTTCAGATCTCAAAAACTCGAAATTCGACAATATCTAAAAAACTGTTCTATTCTCTTACATTTTAATTTCGTATTCCAATTCAGTGAAAAATTTTACATTTGAATGCATATAAAAATATCGCTGGTCGGACATTTTTTTTCCATTTCTGTAAACGTGTGTTATTGCCGACAAAAATACAAGGCAGGCCCGTTGAAATCTTAGAAAACAAGCAAGAAAACCAGCTATCAAAATAATCCATTTGTAAAAAACAACAAAAGTGGTATATTGGTTAAAAAAAAAAAATAAAATTGTTTATTAAAATTTTTTGCAAAAAAGATGTTAGTGAAAAATTATAGTTTCCGCCAAAAAGTGCGGAAAGAGTTCTAATAGGTCAACAGTTTTTGATTCTCCAACATAAGTGTGACACGAGATAAGAATTTTAAGAAAACTTGTCACTCTAAGAATAAGGGCTGAAATTTGCATGTTTAAACTTGTATAACTTGACAAATAACCGTGGAAGATAAAAATTATTTTACACATGGGTTACTAGTAATCGTAGCAGCAATGTGGTGGAGTTTGAACAAAATGCTGGCATAAAATGTTTTTCCTGGTACACTTGACGAATTTTGCCCCACATGCTATTTATGCGCAAATAAGTAAGCAAAGACAAATACATATACTTTTGTAGAAGTTGAAAAAATGTTAATTAAAATTTTTTAAATTCATTTACCCGCCTTAACGAAACCAACAAAATGAGCTAGTACCTAAGACACATCGGAACGAATAGGAAGGCGGCGCAGGTGGCAACAAAAAAAGTTGATTACTGAATGTTGAAAGGTCTAACTAACTGACAGATAGACCTACATACGAATACATTTGCAGCGATTTTATCTGCATAAGCCAGCCGATCAACGTGGAGCAGAATAACAACGGTCTAAAATTCCACAACACACGAGTCTCTACAGCAAAACTAAGAAGATGTTGCATGCCGACAAAACGTAGGCACCAAACAGTGCAGCCGCCGCAGTGTTGCCCGAAACCCAATTAACTCACAAGCGCTAACTTTTTTTCAACAAGTCTTCTTCAGCACCGCTTATTTAAGTTTTGTTTTGTTTTTCACTTCTTAATTTCGAACTCGGTTCAATACAATGTCCTTGCTTTGCTTGTTATTTTTTATTTGCTTTTCCGTTCCTGATCGACTTACGTTTTTTTCTATCTGCTCTTTTCATTCTGCTTGCAGATTTAAATGAGTGCTCGCCAAATCCTTGTCGAAATGGTGGAATTTGCTTGGATGGTGATGGGGATTTTACATGTGAATGCATTTCGGGTTGGACAGGTAAGCAAGCGGATAGTTAACAAAATGGAACGAAGAAGAAGTAAAAACATTAACAAAGTGGAAAAATGTAACAGCTTTTGCAAAACAAAAAAGCGATACGAGCAATTGGGACTGTGTTGGCTATAATGAGTTGGTATTATGAAAATACATTTTTTTTTTCTTTTAGGTTTGAATATTCCTACATATGTATGTAGGTATGCTTCTAGAATGACTTTAACAAGTGTAACGCATGTTAAAAGTTTTGAGCGCGGAAAATTGTAATACAATAAAAAGAAAGCGTTCTGTCGGATTATCAGCAAGTAACACGAGTATCTGCTGTGAATGACAGTGATTGTAATACTGATAAGTTCATTAATTAATACCACTGTCCAACAGCGTTTTTGCATCCATGGTATAGTTTTGAAACATCAACTGAGAAAGGTTGTCATTTTGCATCCTCGAAATCACCGACGCGTCCCCTACGGCCTTAACAGCAAACGTCGGGTACATTCTTTTAAGCGGAAGTCCGTTTAAGAAAAAAGTTGCCGACTAAAGATATGTATTTTCCCCCCCAGAAGCCAAATCTGTGTTAAAAACAAGTATGTACCATTAAAAATAAATGGACTTCCGGTCAGTTAACACCACTTCCGCACAAAAGCCGAAGTGGATAATGCAACCAAAACATAAAGCGTCCCCAACTTGGAATTCATATTTTTTCGTTTTCCAATAAAAATATTTACATCAATTTTAGAAGTCCAGGGCGGGTTTAAGTGCAAAAGTCATTTAAAGGTTGAAAGATGCGCTTCCAAGAAAAAATTTTCAACAAAAGTTGCCTAACTTTATGCGCAGAATCCGAATCTATGGAAAAACGTGTACATCCGAATTAAAAAAATTGACTTCCGGTCAGCTTAACCTATTTCCGGTCGAAACCGGAAGTCGGAAATAGGACCATAATATGGAACATTCCCGACTTAGTAGTTGATATTCTTAAGTTTTCAAAAAAAAAACCATTTACTTCATTTCAGAAGGGGTAAAGGGGTGGTGTGTAAGCAGCTTTTATTAGCACGCCAATATAAGTACTTAAAAATCGGCATATCTTGAATAAATTCTTCCATTCTCTATTACATTTAACAATTTCCTTGTCCACAATGGGGTCACGAAGGTGAAGATGATGTTTGGCAAGTTAAGACCGCCAAGAATGTCGAGACTCGTTATCACTGCGTTTTTTTCGGAAGATATTTTCTAGCTCTTTCTTGAGAAGGAATCCTAAAGGGATCCCTGTTTGAAGTTTTTGAATTCCTGAAAACTTTAACGTTGCTAAAGTTCCCGAAAGGTATTTTGAAGCTTATGTTACTTTGTGACATTCCCCCTACAAGAAGGTTAGCGTCTGGAGTTCCTCTCTTGTAAAAAATGTATATCCACTATACATCCAAATACAAACGAAGCATACGCCATAATATTATGTAAGGCAGTGCCAATTTCTGATAAATAGACTAATTCGGTTCTTCGACTATATAAACTCCTCATCAAATTTTTCTAGCCTCACGCTGATATAAAATGCTTTTTTTTATGAAGAGAACATTAAAGCATGACTAAAGTCATGAAAAAATTGGTGTGGAGTTCTAAAATTACAAAATCCGGCTGTACTTTCTGAACTCGAGATAAGTTTAGTTGGATACCAAATCCAAAAAAAAATATTGTGGGACTGTTTGTACTTCTTTTGTGCAAAGGACTTTGAAACCTTCTTCATTCCTGGAAGCTCATCTAACGCTGCTAATGGTACTTTTTCTGAAACTGATATACTAAAGTCTTCATCCATCCGAAAAAGAGATGGTGTTTTGTGAAAAGCTTTTTCAAGGCAAAAATACACTTGGACGTCTGATATTGCCTGCCGAGGGGACACCGCTTAGAGGAAAAACTTCGGTGGAGAAATTTGAGGTGCGGTAGGATGGTAATAGACAATTGCGTCCGGCGCAAAGGGGCGAACCCAATCATACCTTAAAGCTAAAAAAGCATCTCCGCTAAAACGGGATCCATCGTAGTGGGCGAACTACTCTGTCCTCTAAGTAAAAAGGGCTTCGATTTTCAGGGCTATGCGGATGATATTGTCATCCTAATCAAAGGCAGTTTACAAAACGCTTTCTGCAGCCTCTATAGAATATTCTGAACATAGTCGCCATTTGTGTAGGAAAAACGGGTTAATCGTAAATCCCATTAAAATCAATATAGTCATTTTCTCTTGGAAAAGTAGAGGGACAAGTTTCTGGAACGATTCCTTCAAATATAAAAGAAAGATTTTTCTCACTCATGGAATCCGCACTTAGATAGCGCTATTCAAAAGGACAGGCCTTCCCTTCTAACTGGGCCTGCCGAAATCCTAATGGGCATCAAAACTAAACTGACAATGAAGATGAATTATGTCCATTCTAGCTCATACTGCGTGGAAGAAGGCAGAACTAACGCGATGAGAACAACACCAACGGCGACTCTCGAGGCGCTTTTTTACCCACCTCCTGTACACATTAAAAACAAATAAGAGACTCTCCTATTTACAGCAAGGCTCATCCCCGGGGATAATGGGGAAGACAAGAGGCTCATACACCTTTATACTCTCAGGGTCATAGAATAAGAAATTCAACTTCACAAACAATGTCAAGGTATTTTTCCCCTATCAGAAGAAACTAGGATAACGAAGAACCGAAGCAACTAACAAATACATATACATTCACTCTGACAGCAGAGCAGCTGGTGTATGGCTGCCTTCAGCTTTTAACGAAGAACAGGAAACGCTATGGTTACTTCTTACTTTAATGCGGTGCGTAAAAACCTACACCAGGTTGGCTCAATCAAGTACAGTTATTTCCCTCTGCACAAATAAGAGAAGCTATTGACAATAAGTATAAGGAAAGATTTCCAGAAAAGTTATTTGGCTTCCTTTTAAATGTACATACAGTGGTGTGATTGTAACCAATGTACTTTCAGATTAAAAAAAAAACTCTGAACAAATACAATCGTAACCAGTTTTCCATCATAATTTGTTACTTTAATACAAAAGGGCCTTATATAACGTCTCTTTTTTTTAGTTCTTGTAAAACTTTGAAAAGAATGGTAATAAACAATGAATTTAATATATTGACGTAACTAGTAGTTGTTGTTAACTTCTATCAGGTCCTAAGTGAAAAAGCCAACGATATTTGTTATTAATGAGTTAAGCCTTTTCTATATTAGGGTAACGATATATACGTTTATGTAAATATGGGCAACCTGTCGACTATACATATACTCGAATCTTTAGAAATAGATTAAAATTGATTTTTTTCTCTTGAAAATCATGTAATTTTAATTAAAAATTCCTTTACAAATCCTTATGGTGAAACTACCACTCATAAAATCTTTGATTCCTCTCAAATATTTTCAAAACAAGTTTAAAGCTTATTAAAATTAAAAAGAATTACATAACTGGCATGGAAATTTATATTTGTCATAGACTCTTTGTCTAAAAAATCGGTGAATATTTTTATAAAAAATAATAAGCAAAGCTAGCGATCTCTAGTACATAAATATAATGCTTATTTGCGCACTTTAAAGTTGCTTACTCGATTGAAACCATTTACTAGCATTTCTTACCATCTATTAATTGTCACCTTCCTTTAAATCTCTTAACCGACTACGATAATAAAAAACAAAAATTATGTTTATAGTTTTCCTTTTGTGATCATTTTAATAAGCGAACGCAAGTAGCCAAATCAGTAACACCAAAATATTTGATTAATCGAAAATGAAAGGTGGCAATTAATTTTCGCTTCTATAAGCGAAAATGGCATAATATCATTAACTAATTATAATCGTATCAATGATTAAGTATAATCGAATATTGCGAGCATACTCTTAATTGATTATGCAAATTAGTTCTCAAGTTTATGCGAAAACCGAAGCGTTTACGCTTAATTGATTAAAAATTGTGGTGATTTGTCTGAATTAAAATATTTCTTACCTGTAGAGCCAAGTCATGGAATTCATAGTGGTGATGGAGTGTTTAAAAAATTAAAATTTCGCCGAATTCAGGCAAAAAAAAATGCTAAAATGAAGAGGAAAGTATCTGCAATAAAATCAAATTTGTACAAAATTTTAATGTAGATGCGTTTGTTTTTAAATTTCCTCCTAAGTGGCTTATAAGACCATTTTGATGAAATTGTACTTGTGAGATTCGGTTAGGTGGCATGGTTGTCTCCACAATTAGTAGCACACTGAAAATAGAATACCAAAACTATGGTAAAGATGAATTTAGGTAGAAAATCGTTGCGTTCCCACAGCAAAGTCCTTCAAGCGGCTGATATACATACATACGTATATCCCCGAAAATTATCAGAATAAGTCAGTAAGAAGTGAGTCCAAATAAGTTTAAACAGTTAGTTCTTATTAGCTGGGCACTTGGGTATAAGGTGTTAAGATAATTCGACCTCATCATCATCCATGCGGCTGTTGCAGCAAGGGATTGAAGGGATGTTAAATCTTTCCGCATGGATTCCAATCGGGCAGCAGTTTAGACTCCCACTGTTATCGAGTCCTGTTTAGTTTAAGAGCTCCTTAGACTGTCCCAAACTCGCATTTGTCCAGCATAAGGCTGCGTTTTCGGTAAGTGCGTTGCTACAAGTAGCGCCCAATTTATGTAAATATGGAACGTTCACATTATCAGGAATAAGGCATTTTTCCTTGCCTTTTACAATTAAAGGTTGAAAAGGCAACATCAAATGAGTATATATGGAATCAGAGAAAGCTATATTGTGGACATTCTTAATCGAATATAATCTATCTATTTAGCAGAAAAATGCCAATTTCTATAAAATCCGTTCCCTGGCTTTTCCAGAAGTTTGGAGTTCGAGAAATCTAAATTTGCACTTTATTTTTTACAAAAAGCAGCCGCTAGGGCGCGCTATGATGCAAAAACATGCAAGGAAGAGGAAGGAAAAGTGCAAACGATGTTTCTCAACCAAGTTGCTAAAAAATGTTTCTTCATGTTT